ATATTTGGTTGCAATGACTGATCTTATCCCTTTTTCGTTAGGTTTTCTCTGAGTATTTCCTTTCCCTCTCTTGGGATAAATAACGCACGGTGGCGACTCTTCTGTCATTGTCGGCCTCGATTTTCACAGTAGCGACAGGAGGCAACCCAACGGTTTTTGAGTTTGTATAACTTTATATTTATTTAATTTGATTCAATTTATTCAGGTTATTAGGAAGTTTTTGTGTTTTGTCTCAAGCTTTATTTTTTATTAGCTTGAGGATGCATTTTGTGATTGTTCAAGTTTGATTGTTTCAAGAAGAAAATGTTATGGTAATGTGAAATGTTTAAAGGAGTTACATGGCTAAGGTTTTTTTCTATTGTTTTTCTAGAACATAACATCTTTATGAACCTTAGGCTTTGTACAAATAACATCTCATTCATGCTCTTGCAATTTTTGTTCAATTTTGAATCACTTAGGTCCAAATTATGAGAAACCTCCATTGTTTACTAAATGTTTGGATGACTGGTAAGTTTGTTTAATTCATTTTATTCATGCTTAATCTTGTGATTATTTTGATTTTGTGGAAGCATTAAAAATGATCAAGACATTTGTTGATAATGAGCACAACCATATCCAAAAGTAACTTACCCGTGAGTAGTGAGAATTTTTTAACCCCTTTGAGCTTAATAGTTTAGATCCTAGTTTAGTGATGAACTTGGTATTTGTGCATAATTTGAAAGATAGTTCATCATTGAATTTTATGGGATTCTAAAAAAAATTCTTGAACGTTTGAAATTGTTCTAAATTGTCTTCCTTGCCATAAAAAGCAAGGAACATTCACTTGAGGTTTGGTTGAAAGTAAATTGGGGAGAGTGAAAAGAAAAGTGATAGGTTACTAAAAAATTTTAAAAATTTCAAGAAAGCATTAAAAAGAAAATTGTGAATATGTATGTGAAAAACAAAATAAAAAGATGCTTGTGTGAAAAGAAAAAAAATAGAGAATCAAAAATAATTTGGCAAAGGATGTTTGGAAAGTGTGAGAAATAGAGAAAATAAATTGGTGAATAAAGTTGTGATGTGTAAATACCATGCATAGTGAATGTTTCTTTTGCGTGGAAACTTCAATTCAATAGCCTCAGAAATGACCCTTTGTTGTGAATCCTGGTCAAACTACAACCTTTCAAGCCCTTGGTGATATTTTTGCTTCCATGATTTCATTTATGATTGTTAGATGAATGCACAAATTGAATTGTTGTTAGCATTGTTGTTTAGATGAGTGTAATTATCCCACGGTTGCAAACACATAAAGTTCTTCATCCTTATTCTGAAGAGGAGTGTTAGGTGTGATTCATTCTTGAAATTTTGTATTGCTTTAGAATTTTTTGACATGTGTTTTATGCTTAGAATTTATTTCATAATCATGTTTTCTTTTTAGTTTAGTGGTATGCATTACTTTGCATGTACTTTTGATATTTGTACCATATATATCTTTTCCGTTTGTAAAAACTTGTTGAGCATGATTTCTTGATTATTGCTTTTGTTTCTTCGAGTTGATTGATTCTTGTTTGAGAACAAACAAGTTTGAGTTGGGGAGAGTTTGATAAGTACTAAATATAGTGGTTTTGAGTGTAAATAATTGGCACTTATCAGCTTAATTCAACAAATAAACTTTAACTTTTGTGCATATGTTGTATAGTTTACATTATAATGTATATATTGTGTATCGTGTAAATATCATTGAGTTTGATTGTTTTTCTCATTTTTGTAGGTATACAAGCAATGATATTTTTTAATTATCTTATAGAGCATTGAATAAGCTTTCCCACGCTTCCGACCGCGCGTAAAACGGAGTTACGTTTCTTAAGTTATGGTTGAAACAAGTTATGAGTTTGCTATCAAGCTTGCTGTGCGAACTATAGGCAAGCGAGCTCGCCAAGAGTTTGCACTGTGCACTAAAGGTAGAAAAAAATTGCCCAGAAGCGTGGAAAAACACTATATTGACAGTAGCTATGTTTGGTATGATCGCAGTGCGAGCATGGGAACCCATATTTGCATATAAAGTCACATTTTCAGATTTTTATTAGATTATCTTTTGGAAACTTTTGACCCAATTAATCAGAACCATATTTTTTAGTAGTTTTATCTTAGAAACAACACATGGATAATGCAAATACATGATTCGGAGGAAAATTACCACTTCAATCGGAGGTGACATTAGGTCAGAAGTTCAACCGGAATTGACAAATCGTGAGAAATTTGTTCTTCTTCCTTCTTCTCTTTGTATTCTTCATTATGTTGGGGTTGTTGTATGTATGTTTACTTAGACTGTATGTTCATCTATGGATCTTGGTATAAAATCTCTTTTACAAATCTTAATCATTGTTATCTTTGATTTAGTATGACGAGGTACTTGGGCCTCACGTACCTCTATAAAATTCTTTACTTTCTTCTGTGCCGAATTTTCTCCGTCTTCTTCTCGAGGGGAATTCTTTTACCCAGTTGTCCTCTTGTGTCCTTGACATATGATAAAAACTTACCTATATGAATCATAATTTCAATTTCCTTTTTTAACTAATGATAGTTTTCAATGTGATGCCCACGAACTTTATGCTACGCACACCATGCGTTTTTGTCATTCCCCAATATTACATGTACTACTCAAATTGGGCGCTTTCGTATGGGCAATAGGTTGAGGTGATATACATCCTTAAGGATATCAGGCTGACGTGCATTTAATGGGGTGTACTCTGGTTCACTTTTGAACGGACACTGAGATGGCTTATGCGTCTGCCGATCTCTAGCTCCATTCCTAGGATATTCCTTCCTATGACTTGATCCTTCTTCTCCCATCCATAATTTTTCTTTGGCGTCTCGAGAAATTTTTTTTCCATATTACTTTCTTCCCCCTTGATGTAGCACTCCGCCCGGATAATGACTTCATTCATGTTGGACGCTGGTTTCTGCGTTAAAGACTCATTAAATTGGCCTGCCCTAGGACCATGTTGGATTGCTCCGACGAACATTTCTTGATTTGGATGGGACACCTTGATGGTTTCTTCATTGAATCTAGTTAAGTACTCTCCTAGTGACTCTGCGTGTCCTTGTTGGATATTGAATAAACTGATGGTTGACACCTTTCGATGTTTGCTTGCTGAAAAATGTTGTATCGCCTTTTTAGTTAGATCCTGGTAATTAACGACTGAAAACCTTGGTAGGCTCATATACCACCGTAAAGCTCCTTCCTTAAAAGTTTCATCATTGAGTTTACATTTGAGGGAGTCAGAAGCCCCCACAATTGCCATTTGATTATTAATTGCAATGATGTGTTGTTGTTGATCTGTCTTTCCATTGAAGGATGCTAATGCTAATGACTTGAAGTTCTATGGGACTTGGTCTTCCCAAATAGCTTATGACAGAGGTTGAGCGTCCAAGGACTCCTCCTCCGTCTCACCTTCTTGTTGGTTTTGAGTCTGCAGAACATGTACACTGTCTTGTAAGGTTTCGTTCTGGTGACGGAGGGTTTCTACCACCGACAATACCTGGGTTATGTCTGGTGGTAGAGGTGAGTCGCTTCGACTTGGAGACGACTCGAACATTGTATCACTGAATTACTTATGGTATTTTAAAGTTGTTTTAGGTGGCCTAGGCATGTTTTACCGAGACCCCACAGTGGCCGCCAAATGTTCTTGCTAAAACACTAAAAGGTTGATTTCTTTAATATTTGTCCGAAGAGAGACTTAGATGAATGATTATGAGTGTCTGTTTTGTATATTGGTTGTCCTTTTCTTTCTAGAATATTACCTATTTATAGATGCCTCAGTTGATCCCTCCAGGTAACGTCCGCCACCTCTTCATAAATACTCACATAACGTTTGGTGTTCTGTCTAAACTATACATCCACCCTGCATAGCCAAGTTGCTTTTCGTTCAAAGTAAAATCGACTTATCTCCATCTTATCTGACGTATAAGTAGACATAAAGTTTTCTATTTCATACTCGGTGTATCACCAGGTTAGACATCGGCCAATCAACGTAATTTTTCGGATATGTACAATGTCTTCCATCAAAGAACCATACACTTAAAAATTGACAGTCATATAGTTAAGGTACGTTCAAAAGTTAATTTTTAAATATCATAACTTCTTGTCGAATTTCCTACAAAGTTTCACCTGAATTTTACTTCAAAATTGTCTATAGATTTTTATTTAGCAACAACTTTTGCATATATTTTCAAAATTTACCATTTCTTGCGGGTATACTTGCAGATGTTTTCACAGGTAATATTATCCTGATTTTTACTTTTAAACACATCTTTGTTATTTTCAGCGAAAAATCATATGAACAACATCTACAAGGTACATCTGCAGCATATACCTTTGCAACAATTTTCGCAGAAAATTTTCCCGTAGATATACTTGTAGTTGTTTTCACAAAGTAATATTATCCAAACTTTTACTTTCAGACAAATTCTTTTTGCTACTTTTTTAGTAAAATCATATAAACAACACGGTACAAAGTACATCTAAAAGTTAACTTTTAGACAAAAAAAAATATTTTCAAACATTTTTAAAATTTCAAAAATATACTAAAAATGTAATGAGCAACTCTCAAATATTTAATATGTGAATTTATGTAAAACAAGTTAAAATGAACAAATAAGTCGGCATGCCCGCCTCTCTACTTATAGGTGATAAGGTGGTCTCCACTAACCATTTAACATTCAGATTATGTGTGTAAGCGGTGGATGGCGTGCCTACCTTACATCATGTTATGACTCAAAATCATATTGAGTTCAAAAGAAATATAACAACATATGGTAAAATAGCAACGTCCTCTTTCCTATGAGTCTAAGTATGTCGATTTCATAGCCATAAATAGACGTGAGAGATTCTTGTACGTATTCTCCAACTCTTCCCACAATTTCTAAAATGTATAGTATTAAGTATCTCATATACTACTTATAAGAATATGACTTATTTTAATACAAGCAAAAAAATTTATTAAATCATTTGTGAGAGAATGGATTTGATTGAGTTGAGAAAAGCTGTGGAAGAAGTTGAAGTTGTGAATGAGTTAGAGATAGATGTTTCATTTGTTCGCATATTATGGGTTGATAATTCAGGACAACATAGATGTCGTGTAAGTACCCTCGTATTACAGATTTTATATATTTATATTATTATGTTACGAGATTATGTGAAATTATATTTCAGGCAATTCCTAGAAAACGTTTCTATGATGTTGTTACAAAGAATGGTGTTGGTTTAGCATTTGCGGTTATGGGAATGACTTCTTTTCGTGACGTGCCTGCAGCTGGGTCGGGTTTAGGGACAGTTGGCGAAGCAAGATTAAGTCCTGATTTGTCTACTATAAGGACTATTCCTTGGTACACAAATTCATACTAAAAAATATTTATAAACACTTTCTTTACGTTTACATATTATTCATTCCTTTTGGTCTTTTTCTGTTTCATTATAATAGGAACAAGCAAGATGAAATAGTTTTAGGTGATCTCAATGTTCAACCTGGCCAAGCATGGGAATATTGCCCAAGAGAAGCTTTAAGAAGAGCTTCCAAAATTTTGAAAGATGAATTTGACTTGGTATGTTGCAAAGCTTGTCTTATGCTATCACAAAAATTGTCCAATTTATAGCACAGAGTTCAAAATTTGTCACGATTAGCCTAGTGCCTCATAAAATACTTGTAACTCATAAATAATAGCCAAATAAGACCCTAATTATTTTTTTGCCATGGTTAAATCGTAGTTAACCTAACATTGCTTCCGAGTCTATAGGTAATGAATGCAGGGTTTGAGAATGAGTTTTTTCTATTGAAGAGCATAATAAGGTATGAGTGTGACAATATCATCTTGTGATTTGATCAATGCAATTTACCATGGCAATTAGTTTTAAACATGAAGAAAAAACCATTCAGGGAAGGAAAAGAAGAATGGATACAATTTGACTCAACTCCTTATTGCTCCTCGTCAGCATTTGATGCTGCTTCTCCGATACTTCGTGAAATTACTTCTGCTTTACATTCCATGGGAATTCCAGTAGAACAGGTAAATTTTTAGGATTTTTTAGCTTGATAAATCTAAATGGAAGAAATCATAATGACTTCCGTTGAAATTTTTGTTAAATTTTGCAGTTACATGCAGAAGCTGGAAAGGGTCAATTTGAACTGGTTTTAGGACATACCATTTGTGCTAAAGCTGCAGACAACTTAGTTTACACCCGCGAAACCGTTAGATCTATTGCTAGAAAACATGGTTTGCTTGCAACTTTTATTCCAAAGTAAGTGTCAATGTTGCTCTTATAAGTATGAAATATTGCATATATGGTACTGTAGTAGCTGCTAACAATAGAATTTTTTCATCTTGAAGGTACTCATTAGATGATTTGGGTTCTGGATGCCATGTCCATCTAAGTTTATGGCAGAATGGCCAAAATGTATTTATGGCATCTGATGAATCATCAAAGTATGGAATATCCACTTTGGGAAAAGAATTTATGGCTGGAGTTCTTCATCATCTCCCTTCAATTTTGCCATTTGTAGCACCACTTCCTATCAGGTTCATGTTACGACTTAAGACAAGCGATGCATGAGAACTTGAGGTCAGAATACAAGTTATCGTGCTTCTATGTTTTCTTACATTTGATCTTAATTTGATTGCAGTTATGATCGGTTGCAACCGAACACATGGAGCGGTGCATACTTGTTTTGGGGGAATGAAAATAAGGATGCTCCGTTGCGAGCTTCATCTCCGCCTGGAACTCCCGGTGGTTTCGCGAGTAACTTTGAATTTAAATCATTTGATGGTTCTGCAAATCCATATTTAGGCTTAACTGCTATAATTGCTGCTGGCATTGATGGTCTTCGTCGACATCTTTCTCTTCCTGAACCTGTTGGTAAGATATATAGTATAAATGTTTTCATAATTTGTTATCATTTTCTTCCTCATTGCTTCTTTTGTAACAAATCTGAATTAGTTCTTGAATAATAAACTTCTTATTTTATTTATGAACCAGATACAGATCTTAATCCAAAAAACTTTCAAAGATTGCCAAAATCACTTTCTGAATCTTTGGAAGCTCTTCATAAGGCTGAGTTTCTTGACGAATTTATTGGTGATAAGTTGCTCATTGCCATAAAAGCAATTCGAAAGGTATGTTTCTGAAGATAGATAGATAGTTCAACATTTATAATTAATGAAGAAAGGGAAAGTTTTTAACAGACACTCTCACACAATCTTAGGATGTAGACCGAACGGATTCTACATCCAAGATTAAGGACCTTTTCTTATTTATGTAGTTCTTTCCGCTAAGTTACTAATTTTGATGTTTAATGTGACTTATGATTATTATATCAGGCTGAAATTGATCATTACTTGGAGAACAAGGAAACATACAAGCAACTCATACATCGTTATTGACCTACTTGTCTATTTTTCCTATGTAAGACTTCTCGGAGCATGATTTAGATTGTGGTATCTTGTAATATAAGGAAGAGAGAAAGAGATGAGCGAGAATGAAAATTTGAATTGAATTTGTGCTTGTATTATTACGAATGAGTGAGCCATACAATACATCCACACAAGTAGATCAGTTAGCCATGCTTAATCAACTAGTTGAGTAAAAACCGTCCGATAAATTTATAAATAATTGTCTAACTTACTCGACCAATCTTTTCTTTAAGCGGACACGTTTTTTTCAATTTTTATTTATTTTTTGATTTGATACTTTGGCTTGCCCATTAGCTTGTGTATGGTAGGGTGTTGCAACTTTTTGCTTAACACCGTACTGCTCCAACATTTTTTTTCAGCTGAGTGTTGCAAAAGTGAGATCCTCTATCACTTATTAACACTCGCGGAGTACCAAATCGAGAGAAAATATTTTTCTTTAAAAAATTTGATCACGGTTTTTCCGTCAGCATTAGCACTTGTTATTGCTTCAACCCATTTTAAAACGTAATCAACTGCAACCAAAATGTATTCATTACCGAAAGACGGTGGAAATGGCCCAACAAAATCTATACTCCAACAGTCAAATACTTCGACTTGTAACATATTTTGTAATGGCATTTCATTCCTTTGTGAAATTTCACCACTCCTTTGAAATTTGTCACAACTTTTAGTATGCGCATGCGCATCTTTGAACAAAGAAGGCCAATAAAAGTCCAATTGGAGGACTTTCGTTGTCGTTCTTGTATCATTAAAATGACCTCCAAAAGGAGAGTTGTGACAATGCCAAAGTATGTCCTTGCCTTCTTCATGAGATACACATCTGCTCAAAATGTTGTCAATACCAAACTTAAACAAATGAGGCTCATCCCACGCGAAATATTTGGCATCAGACAAAAATTTCTTTTTCTGGTTACTAGTTAGACCTTCCGGCATTAATCCGACAACTTTGTGGTTAGTCATGTCAGCAAACCAAGGTCTAACTTTCACCATGTACAACTTTTCATCAGGAAATTCTTCCTTCACCTCATTTTCATGTTTCATAACCTCAACATTCACAAGACATGATAAGTGATCCGCCACCAAATTCTCAGATCCCTTTTTGTCACGAATTTCCAAATCAAATTCTTGTAACAAAAGATCCAACGAATTAGCCTTTGTTTTGAATCTGACTTGGTGAGAAGATACTTGATCACCGCATGGTCAGTGTAAACCACAACTTTAGACCTTATCAAGTCTGACCTAAATTTTTCCAATGCATACGCTATTGCAAGCAACTCTTTCTCGATTGTTGCATAGTTTATTTGGGCTTCATATAGAACTATGCTCGCATAGTGTATAGCATGAAAAAAAATTATTTCACGTTCAAAGGTGGGGGTAGCTTCTCAATGACTTCCACTTTGTCACGACCAACTTCAAGACCTTTCGAAGAAACTTTGTGTACAAGCACAATTCCTTTCGTGACCATAAAATTTCATTTCTCCTAGTTGAGTACTAAGTTAGTTTTCACACACCTCTCCAAAATAACGTCCAAATTTTTCAGACAAAGGTCAAATGACGGACCGAAAACTGGGAAATCATCCATAAACACCTCGATAGTCTTTTCGATCAAGTCCATGAAAATAGCTTGCATACACCTTTGAAAATTCGTCGGTGCATTATACAGGCCAAACGGTATCCTCCTACAAGCAAAGATTCCGAAAGGGCAAGTGAAAGCTGTTTTTTCATGATCCTCCGAGTTGACAATGATTTGATTATAACTCGAGTATCCATCCAAAAAACAATAATACTCTTGACCGGAGAGCCTCTCGAGCATTTTATCCATGAAAGGAAGAGGGAAGTGATATTTCCTTGTAGCTTGATTGAGCCTACGGTAGTCGATACATATCATCCACCCCGTCACAATTTTTGTTGGAATCAACTCATTCTTCTCATTTCGGATAACTGTCATTCCTCCCTTCTTCATCACCACTTGTACCGGACTAACTCAGGACTGTCAGAGATAGGATAAATCATTTCGGCATCCAACATTTTTACCACTTCTTTTGTCACCACTTCTTTCATGGTAGGATTCAATCTTCTTTGTAGTTGAGCCACCGACTTAAAATCTTCCTCCATGAATATTCGGTGCATACAATAGGATGGACTTGTACCTTTCAAGTCGGAAAGAGTCCAACCCATTGCCTCTTGATTTTTCTTCAAAACACCAACTAATTTTGTCTCTTCCTTCTTGATTAGCTCCGCACTAATGATCACCAGCTTGTTTCCTTCTTCATCAAGAAAGACATACTTGAGATAAGATGGTAACACTTTCAACTCAAGTTTAATTTCCTCACTGTTTTCCTTTTTCAACATTTCCACCCTTTCATTCAAAGGGGGAATTTCTTCTAATTCTTCAAGCTCCCGCAAGCATTTTTCAATCTCTTTTTCTTCTTTCTCGTTGACATTTGAAAGAGCATTGGTAAGAACCTGTTGTAATGGTGTAGGAACTTGTAGCAACTCTTTAACTTCTTCTATCACCCTTTTCGTTGCATCGATTCTAAAACAACCGGTCTTGTCCTTTGAGTGCTTCACGGCTTCAAAAAGATTGAAACATATCTCCTCATCTTAAACTCTAACTTTCATTAGACCATCATCTATATCAATTACCATGCGCGCGGTCTTCATAAAAGGTCGCCCAAGAATCAAGGGAGAGTCATCATCTTCCTCCATATCAATCACCACAAAGTCGATTGGAAACAAAAATTTATCACTTTACCAACACGTCTTCCGCTACACCATGAGGGCGAGTGATAGATTTGCCGGAAAGTTGCAATGTCATTTGAGTGGACTTCAATTCCATGTATCCCAAACGCTTCATAGTAGACAAGGGTATCAAATTGATATTAGAGCCTAAATCGATCAACCCATTGCCAACATATAAATGTTTCCAATTGTAACCAGCAAAGTGACTCGTTCCGGATCACTTTCTTTCCTCAGGAGAGTACATTGAATGATTGCGCTACAACTATCATCCACCATGATAGTTTCTTGATCCATATACCTCTTCTTCTTTGTAAGGGTATCCTTCATGAATTTCGCATACTTGGGCATTTGTTCCAATGCTTCGGAAAATGGAATATTGATTTGCAATTGCTTGAATATATCCATGAATTGAGCATAGTGCCTGTTGCGGTGAGAATCGTGATACAAAGCTATTGATTAACTTGAATCTTTAGTTCTTAGATTACAACCGGACTTTAATTTATCCAAAGGAAAGGTCTAAAGAAAGAAAAACCCTTTTGCGCAATGTAACAACAATGCTAAGAGATTCGGGGATCGGGGGTTGGTTATGCATAGGGTAGGTATTTCACATCCTAAACATCTGTAGTACTCTACAGGAACCTTTTGTTTATTTGCATGCTAAGTTGGTAAATGTTTGCTAAGGTTTGAGGTTGGGTAAAGGGTGAAGGTTAAAACCTAAGGATAGTTTCTAAGTTTGCTCGCAAAGATGTTGCGTCCTCTGCCTACGTATCCTAACTAGGATAGAATCAGAGCAATCGTAGTTCGCCTCACTAGGGTTGAAGAACACTTGATTATGATCAAGGTTCAAAGGGGAACAAACATATCCATGCTTGTGTAGAGTTTCACAAAACTCTCTAGATCTATGTTGAACTCTCAAGAAAGGGAAGTAAGTGATCATCTCCATGATTCTTACATAGAGTTTACAAACTCTATCCTAGGGTTCTAGTTGAAGAAACACTCTTAGTGTAAGTGAGTTTTCTTAGACTTAAAACAAAGTCTAATGGTTTAAAATGTTCTAACTTTACTAAGCTAGGGTTAGGGTGACTTCACAAAGTCAAGAAGGGTAAATGAGCAATCCAATGACACAAGGGTCAAGGGAGAAACTTTTCCTTTGGAAGGAGAGAGATAGAGAGGCAACTGGGATGAGAACTAGAAAGTTCCATCACTTGGGGGAAGAAATACTTAATAAAGCAAGATGAAATAAGATTTAAGACAAGTAAGCATGCATATTACAATAAGCACATACTTTAAATGATACCAAGGGTTATATCCAATAAATCATCTTAACAAATATTGAGGGTTCATCTTGACAAAGATTGGAACATGATGAAGGTTATTACTACATAAACAAATCACAATTTGAAGATGGGCAAGTCATAAGTTCAAAACATAGCAAATGTAACAACAATGCATAGATGACAATCAAGCATAATTAAATCAGTTTAAACCTCATAATTTAGGAGGGGAAATGGAAATGAAATTACTTAACCAAGTAAATATGATGAAAATATAAAGGTAACAACCAACAAAAGAATGTCATAAGTGAAAATGTATGGATGGCACTCAAGGCAAGTAATCAAGCAAGAACTGCATCGACGGATTGCGCTTTAAAGTAAACACAGGTAAAAGGGACATTTTATGCTAACAACCAAATGAGAAAATCCTAACATGTTTACTAACATACAATAGATGATAATGAATAAATATCTTCACACAAATGATCATGGTGAAAAAGAAATTCATCTGCATACAGGAGATAATGATCTCGATACAAAAGCAACTTGCAAGCGACCAAAAGGCATGAAAATTTGAACAAACATGGCATTAAAAAATATCACATGAAAGTAGACATCAAGACAAACACAATGCAAAAATAATGGGTTCAAAATGATTAAAAATGAGTGAGTTATGAATTTTCAAAGATTGGATGAAAAATTACAAAAATAAATAAAAGGGTTGCCCTCCTCAGGGGTCGAACCCAGGTCATGGGTGTACAAGGCGTGTTTAAGGCGTATGGTCTTACCACTGGGGTGGCTATACATCCATTGATGAAAGCCACCCCATAAATATATATATGGGAAACTCAAAAACCAGGCTGGGCAAAAACAAAAGAACAACATACTAACTTGCATTTTCACATGTAACTTCCTCAATTCTTAATGGATTTTCATGAAATTTAGGTCTAAACT